GGGCTTCCGACATTGCCTGTCTGGGCCAACCCGGGCACTGGGCGATACAGCGTCCCAGCGGAAAGACCGAGATACCCGATTAAATTTTATCCCAAATCTGGAATTGAACTCTAGTCTCCCGCATGCGACGGCAAAGGACCTAACTACTGCACCACGGGTGCAAGTGACTGCTTTCTTTCTTATGTGCCTGACGGTATGGGAAGAGATTTTCAAGATTTTATTGATTTGAAAGGTCTTTGGCACATACATCCACACCTTATAATAAATGACTCGGCAAATACACAAATATACGTATGGGGAAGGAGTAAAAAAGTACGTAAGTCTCAGAGAGATTAGAATAATTACGAACATAGAACATGGAAATCACATCATACCATCATTTGTATGGCTTTTAATACGGATTGGCATCAATTTTCTTTCTTTCTTTCTATTTTTAAAGGGGGGGGGGGGGGGGGGAGGGGGGAGAGAAGATGGTGATAAAATGTAGAAGGAATATGAATGCACGTGTGACTAAAAGAATGTGTGCTGCAGTCATTCTCGTTTTCAAATGTGAATGCTCCTTTCTGCTCCAGAATCTGCGCTAATTCCCTGAGCACACAGTATACGCCCCTCTCGTACGAGCTTTTTCTTTCAAAGGAATCGTGTTATTTCACCAGAAGCAAGTAATCTTTATATCAACCCCCCCCCCCTCTCAGCATCGCGCCCCTTCCTCTCTCCCCGCCCCCTCCCCAGGGACCGTGATTATGACCTCCATCCATTCTCTCTCTCTCTCGCTCTCTCTCATTCTCTCCCTTTCATTCTCCCTCTCTTGCTCTCCCCTCTCCCCCCTCTCTCTCTCCCTCTCGCTCTCTCTCTCGCTCTCTGTCATTCTCTCTCTTGCTCTCTTTTTTCTTTCTATTTCTCTTTCTCTCTCACACACACTCTCTCTCTCCCTCCCTCACCCACCAACTCCCAACCCCTCCATCACCCACCAACTCTCTCTCACTCTCTTCGCCCATACCTTCATGGACTGACCCACTCTACAGAAACTGTGGTAACGAGACTATGGATCCATCATAGAATCTAAGCCCCTCTGTCGGCCGCAAGTGTAGCCGTGGGGTTACTCGATTTATGCTATCAGCTTACGGAAAAGATAGAATTAATCTCGACACCTAAGCGCAAACCAAACTGCCTCTGTCATCTTCAATCCATCACTTTTGCTCCAAGACCTCTGGATCCGACACCTCCTCAGTTCAGGCTAATAATACGCCGTTGGGAAACAAGAAAGTTTTTAAAAAAGATAACCTTTCACCCCTGGAAAAACCCCCCCAGCGAAATTCTCGAAGTCATGCAGATGAATGGGACCACTGCCGTGCATTCGACAGAACTTGTCAAAAGGATGGCGTCTGCACGTTCCTATTTTTAGTCGTTTGCAGTTTATTGTTCACTTTTTGTAGCTTGCGTGAGGATGCGTCTTTGTCGTGCCCTAGTTTGTGAGCTTTTCGATGTTTACTCTTTTTGGGAAGCGTATTCTGCTTATTCAACAACTCTGAACTTTTCATTAACATTTTTTCTAAGAGGGGGGGGGTAAACGTTTTACGGCGCTCGCAAATGCATAAGTTCATATGAGCGCGCGGACACATTTACCTCTTTTCAGTTTGGTATAAGAAGCAAATAAAATTTTGAATTTTGCCTGGGTGGGGGCCGAAGCCTGATCTTGTCGATTTTAGGACCACCATGGGATCTTTAACATACGCAACTTTATTTTAATGCAGGTGTTTTTTTACGGTCCGAGTAACACCACTGAGATATTTTCTCAGACCCTGCCTGACAGGCTGGGTTATTCCGGGGTGAGAGACACCAAAGTGGCTGTAATTTGTTTTATAACCCCTTACGGATGTCTTAAATCAGAGATATGGTCTTTATAAATTATCAAAAGTCGTTTGTATTTTCTTGTTAATTCCAGCTATTTTATTTCCTCTAGAAACAAAGTTAGATTGACTTAAACTCTTTATTTTTCTTACCTCTTTTAATATCTTGAAGATGAAAATAATGTTAAATATTAGTTCTTTTACTTTGGGAAAGGCGCTTATCTCGAAATTTCCTCATTGCACCCAGTTTGTTAGTCTAGAGAGCTTAATCGGCAGCTTACACTGTATGCTTTCCGGGAAGTGGACAAAGTCTCGGAGAGTTTATGATCTTCCAGTGTAAAAGATTGCAAAGCTGGTGCAGCTTACAGTTCGCGGGTAAAGGCGTTAAACAATTTTTATTTTAAACGATTATCATTCTTATTTTTATAAATAAAATTACTATTTTTTTTCTATTTTTTTTCCTTTTCTTTTCTTCTTCTTCTTCTTCTTCTTCTTCTTCTTCTTCTTCTTCTTCTTCTTCTTCTCATTATTAATAGTATCCACGATTGTCATTAATGTATATAACGGCGTGAGAATACTGGACTGAACTTAGAGAAGGACAACAGAAACTGCCAAAACTACAAACAGCATTCGTTAAAAACATGTTCTTTTCCCAGGTTTCATTACTTACAAAAATGGGAAACCCTATCCACACACAGGTTATGAACTCAATATTTTTTTTCCTTTGCCCATTTATATGAGATTGACGCCATCTGATTAGTAGAAAAAAGTGCATATGATTGTGTCCAATAGTGTATTACATGCATACTTAGTATATCAATAAACTGTAATAGCGGATAGTGATTCCAGGATTACAGATGTAAGTCATTGATCTAAGAGAGGTGATGATTTTAGAATTAATAGTGGTGATGAGTGATGATGAGGGATTGCGTTTAAGTAATGTTAGCGTTAGTCCTATCTTTCTCTGCTTCAATGAGTCATGAGGGACGTGGGCACCCTCTATCCCGTTCCCTACTGGAACTCATTAATGAAACGTGGCACATTACTGGATCTTGGGAGGGGTGAAATATAAAAATAGCAATTTTATTTTTAATTAGAACACACACACCATATGAAATATGTCACTTTATTTGAAATAATGAAGATTTTTATCTTACTGGCTCATATGCAACCTGATTTTAAACGTTTGAATATATATA